CTTTCCCCTCTCATAGCATGCACGATTATTTACCTGTATCTGATTCTTTGTCTATTTTCGCTTCACGAGCTCCGTTTTATTTGTTCTGAGCGATTGGTTCATTCTGTCGCAACCTATAAATGGAATTTATACATTTATATATAATAATCATTGTAAATGAATTTAATTAGACAATATCTGATATTAATTAATCAAAAGTGTATTTAAATAATCAAATGTTTAGATGGATGGACGGATGGATGAATGGATGGATGTTTAAAGAAATCTCCGAGACGGCTTCATGGATCTCGCTGAAATTTGACATAAATGTAGAACATAATCCTGAAGAAAGCATATGCTACTTATTAAGATTTATTTCAATTACGCGCGATCGGAGTCGCGGGCGATAGCTAGTCTTATATACAAAATTCCGTTGTCACAATGTTAGTAACCATACTCCTCCAAACTCACTATCAGACACACTTGATTTTGAAATCCTAGCGCCCATAGAGCCCACCCACTATCCTCACGTAATAGAGCACACACCGGATGTGCTTGATATTGCAATCGTCAAAAATGTTAACCTAAATCTATGTGCCATTAAAGTGATTCACGAGCTTCACTCGGATCACAGGCCAGTACTACTACGGCTAGGGCCATCCGCACCTACCGCTACCCAATATAAAACAGTAATCGACTGGCATATGCTCAGCACTAAACTTAAAAATTTCAACTCGACCCACTTAGATGCCATACCCGACCAACTAAATACTGAGCTAGACATGGGTACCGCGATCGGCTCTCTAACGAGTCACGTCCAAAACGTCATAGACAACTGCTCAAGGCAGGTGCCAGAGACCAATAACCATCGTTGGGCTCTACCACCAGACATTAGGGACCTGTTGAGACGCAAGAACGCAGCTACCCGTGATCATGATATGTATCCCACTGAATTGAACCGAAAACAGCTACGTAAACTACAGCGTGATGTAAAAACACGAATAGCTGCATTCAGGAACGAAAGGTGGGATTCAGATCTCAGTAATTTAAAGCCATCCCACTTAGCCTTCTGGAGGCTCCCTAAATCATTAAAGGGCGACACGCACACCACGATGCCGCCACTCTCTCGTCCAAATATGACACCAGCCATGTTGGACGAGGAGAAAGCCGAATGCCTAGCTGATAGTCTCGAGGCCCAGTGCTCCCCTAGTAGCCTACCGATCGATCCTGATCACCTCCGAAAGGTGAACAGTGAGGTCGAGCGAAGGAGTAAAATACCCCTTCTAGATGTCATTCCACCAGTTACTAGAGATGAAGTTGAGGAATTAATTAAAAACTTACGCCCCCGTAAAGCACCCGGCTCCGATGGTATCACCAATAGGGTGACCAAACTATTTCCAGCTACTATACTACAACTTCTTGTTGCTATATATAACGTGGCAATGACCAAAGGAGTTTTTCCCACCGAGTGGAAAGACGCCGAAGTCATAGGGTTCCTCAAACCCTCTAAGCCACCTACAAATCCCACCTCGTATCGCCCCGTCAGCCTACTCAAAACGTTTGGGAAGATTTATGAACGCCTGGTTTTAGCCCGCCTTCGCTCTTTTATGGAAACGAAAGCCATGCCCATTGCCGAACAGTTTGGATTTCGCGCCAAACATTCATGCACT